CCCTTAGCTATGGACGAGTGACTCTTTCTCTCGGTTCCTTTGAGAATGACAACTTGAGTCTCTCACGGGCAGGATCTAGGGCTCCGTCATAAACAGGTGCTGGGGAGGGGCCTCGGGCGCAGTTAACTCAGGCCCCACCTCCTGACTGCGAAGCAGGCTCCGAGCGCCCCGAGCGTTCGGAAAGCGCGCCCGCTGCGGAGCGGGTGTTCCATCTCTCATTCCGCCTCACAAAGCTCGCTGCAGATACTCTCACGTTCGGGATAGAAAGTGCTGCTCAAGTGATTTTAGACAACAGGACTCGGGGTCCCATGGACATTATTATGAGGAGGGAGGCCGTGAAGGTAGGCATCTGAAAGGCTTTATGAAAGAGAGAGAAAGCACAGTGCTGTAGACATCACAAAATGAACCAATTCTTATTCTCTCTCTCTCCCCTTAGCCTGGAAACATCACCATTTCACCCTTATTGTTCTGGGTTATTTTGTTGGATATAGAATTTTGTTTCTTTTCACACTTGGGATTCCACTGTCTTTTGGTCACGATGATTTCTGGTGAGAAGTCAGACGCTGGTGAGAAGGTGATGTGCCCTTTTTTTCCTCTAGCTGCTTAGAGACACACTTTCTGCCTTTGGGCTGTAGCACTTCAATGATTACTCATGCTGCAGAGTTTCCACGCACCTTTGTGCGTGTGATTTGTGCTTTTATCTCTCCGGGATCATTCTAAGCCGTTATTTTTCAGATATTGCTTCTAACTCATTCTCTCTGGCCTATACTGGTAGGATTCCACTTAAACTCAATTCTTAATATTTTCTTTACCAGTTATACTTAGTTAGAACTGTGTATCTATCCCGCACATTTATTGCTCTCAACCTCATCACATTTTTCTCAAATTTCCTTCTGGTTTTTTTGGACAGTATCTTTTTAAAAAATATTTTATTGATTTATTTTTAGAGAGAGGGAGAAAGAGAAGGAAAGAAACATCAATGTGTGGTTGCTCTCATGTGCCCCCTACTGGGGACCTGGCCCACAACCCAGGCATGTGCCCTGACTGGGAATCAAACCGGGGACCCTTTGGTTTGCAGGCCTGTGCTCAATACACTGAGCTACACCAGCCAGTGCTTTTCTTCAGTTTTGATATTTTCTATTGTTCTGGATTATAGTTAACTGGTCATATCTCTCCTTTTAAAACTTTCTCATTACATTTATCTTTGGTGTTTATAATTAAAATTCTGGAATTTAAAAATGTTTCATTTTATCGTTTCTCTTTTTATAAATTCCTGTTCTCTGGTGAAACTATTCATATTTGTATTTATATTTTCTCTTTTTTTCTGTTTGCTCAAAAATGTTAGTTATTTCTATAATAAAGCCAGTCTTGGGTAACCCCAAATGTGTCAATCTGTTTATCTGTTACCATTTTTTAAATGTTTTTTTAAAAATTTAATTATTGCTCAGGTACAGTTTTCTGTCCAATTTTTCTTTTGAGTTTTGTTCATTTGGTGATAGCACACACTTGCATGGAAAATTGCACGAAAATTTTTATTATCTTTTAAAGGGAGTTCATCATTTTGTTTTTTGGCCAATACATTTGGGGCTAATCACTTCAACAAGATCAGTGACCTGGGGTAACTCAAGGCTGAGCTGTAGCCTGGCAAGTTTTTCCCTGTCACGGTGAACGGCAGAGGTGAACTTCTCCTCTTTGGGGGTCCAGCAGCCTCTCCCCTGCACCCATGCCCCCGCCCTCACTTCCCCGTGCCCCCGCACCTCTGCCTGAGGGACAGCAAAGCCACGCAGGTAGCTATCAGACATGCGCTTCCTCATCAGCTTCTCTGTGCCTTTCTGCACGCCTGAGTCATGACCAGAGGCTTATGTTTTCTCTCTGTAGACTGGGCTTTGGAGAAGTGGGTGAATGAATGGCTACTGGAGACATGCTCTATTTAACTAAAAAGGTCTGTGAGGAAGTTCAAGGACAGGCAAAGCAGACACGACGTGGTACTGCTTCAGGGTCTCCGATCCACCAGGCCTGGCCAACAAGTGCCATTAACCTTGAGTTGCTGCACGAAGACAAATAGGATCCCAGGAATTCCCTCAGCAAGAAGCTGTCAGCTCAGACCTCCGACCTAAAGTCATGTTTGTGTGGCCATTCTGAGGATTGTCTACAGATGGCGTCAAGCTGAGAACGGTGTGAGGAAGCATACCGGCCAGCAGGAAACCCTCCGGAATGACGTTGATCTTAACAGTATAAAAACCAATTATGTTTATCAGTAAATAAACTCTCATAGGAAAACGGTTTTGTTGTTGTTGTTGTTTTTTGTGTCCGGACTCGGAGACATCACAGCATGAGAATGTGATCATTAGATAAAGAAATGCCTAAGAGAGTTATGTTTGTTTTCAAGTTGATTTTTTACCGCGATGTGGTGATTCATGCCCACTGGTGCGTGCAAAGGTTACTAATTAATGAGTATAGGAGGTGTTTTTTTTTTTTTAATCATCCAGAGGATGTTCTCCTTTCAAGTAGAATTATACAAAACTTGTGTGAATTCAGATCCCTTGTAATTTTTTTCTGGGCCACAGTATTGGGAAAAAATGAATCACCTCCGTTGAAGGAACTGATTATTCTCCACAATGAGAACTAAAACTGCAGACTTCTCCGTGGCAGATGCAATTCTTCTTTCCCTGTTTCTGAATACACGGGAGAGGCCCATGCCAATCGTCAATATTTGCCCAGGAAATAGTCTTAATTCCTGAGTAGTATGCTGATTTGGGGAAGGACTATTTTTCTGCATTTTTGTCTTCAACTATGACACTTCCATACTCCATATGTTTCCTAAACCTAGAAAATATTAGTAGACACAGATGGAATGCCCAGAGTGATGTCTGGACGATTAATGATGTGGAGTGGGGAAAAGGCTGGTTTCCTGGAAGAGACAGAAGGAGGGGACGAAGGAGTGAATCTAATGACCACTCAAGGTCATTTCCACTGGGGACCCAGGACAGAGGGCACCCAGGCTGCAGCCAGGTGTGGGAGCGGGGTATGAGTACCGTGGAATCATGGGAATTTCGGGAGCAAAGCGTGAGAATCCTTTGTTGGTACCTCCTTCCTTCTAGTTTGCATCTGATTAGTTGGAGGCAAGTGGATGTGGTTTTTTAATGGAGTTATTTCTTGAGATCATGCTGTTGGCTTATTTCCTAAAGAAGGCATAGCGATTTGTGACGCAACATGAAGTCTCATGTATAAACAGCCAAAGTGAGGTAAGAGGTGCAGACGGGGCGTGGGGGGGCCTTCTGTCCACGCCAATCTGCCGACTGCGTTCACAGAGGGACCGTCTTTGCCATGAGTCGGAAAAATAATTTCAGGGGAACAGTCCCTCCCCGTTCACAAGGGAGGGCCCTGCGTAAAGTGGAGCGTGAAATGAGGCCTATTTGTTATGCTGATGTACAATCTCAGTTGGTGCATTAATCTCTCCAGGCTACCACAGCGTTCCAGGGAGACTGAAAGCTCCTTGTTGCCAGTGAGGGTTTTTTTTTTCTTATGCATGGACATTTTTTCATTGCTTTTAGAAAGATAGATAGATAGATAGATAGATAGATAGATAGATAGATGGATAGATAGATAGATAGATAGATAGAGAGATAGATAGATAGATGTGAGAGAGCATTAACTGGTTGCCTGCTGCAGCCGCCCTGCCGGGGGATCAAACCTACAACCCAGGCCTGTGCCCTGAGTGGGAATCAAACCCACAGCCTTCCAGCTCCAGGACAACACTCCAACCAACCGAGCCACACGGGCCAGGGCCAGTGAGGGTTCTTCAGACTCTTTCACCCGCCAGCACTCCTAGCACAATAATTGCCGGACTCCACACCTCCCTGGGTAGTGATCTCTCACAGTCAGTTTCAAAAACTTGGCTTTGCATTTCCTCTTGTTTATCATGACTTCACCAAGAACAGCAGGAAAGGAAAAGCAGCTTGGACATTTGGTATCGAAATGATAGAACAACGCCCCCCCACCCCCATCCCCCACCCCTGTTTGGTGGCGGCTGTACACCGCAGAGGCCTAATGCTTCGTTTCAACCTCTCAGGGAGCAGAATTAAATTAATGGAGGTGACTCATAGTTGGAAAAAACTGCCCGAAAACATTTCGATTTCTGTTACTGCCACAGTGCATTGAAATAAGTTATAGTCTTCGAGTCCTTTAACCTGATCCATATTTAATTGTTAAACTTAGATGCCTCTGCTTGCCGTTGCCGCCGTGACCTTTAGGGGGAGGTTTTGCTTTTACTAGTGTATCAGCTCGCTTTCCAGACCTTTCTTAATGTATGCATGGCTCTCTATTTCACAATCTATCCGGAATTCAGGCTGCCCTTTAAATGCAGGTAGCATTAATTAGCAAAATTCACATCTCAATCTAGTCCCCGATAAAACACATTATTCTAGCACTTTAAGTGCTCATATATTATTCATATAGACATACAATAAGATCGGTAGAAAAACTGGGTGTCATTCCATCTGCACCCCAAATCCTGCAGGAAGAAAACTAATGGCAAAGCAGTGGGGCATAGCAATAAGTTACCACTGAAAAACAGGCAAAACCCCCACAAGACAAACAACAACAACAACAAAAAACACATTCAAATGCTTTAAGAGCTGAAGTAGCCCATTCATCTACCTGCATCTCGTGAACACCTCGAGATGGGACCGAACCTGCAACCCAGGCATGTGCCCTGACTGGGAATTGGACATGCAACCTTCTGGAGTACAGGACGATGCTCCAATGACCTGAGCCACCTGGCCAGGGCTTAAAAAATGTTTTCACTTTGGAATCAGTTGTTTTGTCCCAAATACCACGTAGGGATTGTGATTGCCCGAATACAACAAGTAGTTAAAACATACCCCTGAAGAAATTCTGCATGAAAGCTGTGAATAGACAGCCTTAGGTCTCAGGGGGAAAATGGTCAGCTTTTTTTTTTTTTTTTTTTGAGAGCTACATTTTTCTCTGTTCATTCCTACCTGCCGATGTGGTCACAATTTCCGTGGTGTTTCTGAGGCCCATGAAGTCAAACTGATAAAGCCGCCAGGATTTCTGGTTCGCGGTCTCAACCGAGTTTTTCCTCCATCTATAAATCATTTCTTCTTTGGGGTAGCCATCTAAAAACAGAACGCATAGCAACACTTCAAGATTTAGGTTCACACAACATTACAGTCAAAAATGATAATGCTAATCGCTTAGCAGAAGTTAAAAATCTGAGGCCCTGTTTGGTCCCCTAGTTTTCCTGGGATACACAGAAACTCCGAACATGATCAGGGCCAGGCCACCCAGTGTCGGGGGGTTGAGGGATTGGCGCTGAAGACCATCAGGATCCGAAAAGGGTTTGCAGCCACAGGGCCGGCCGGCATCTGTGTGGACACAGTGCCCAGGGTGGCCACTGTCCTGCTGTCTTTCTTCTCGGAGTGGCGGGGCTGTGGTGATCTGCCAGGCAGAGGCTGGAGCCAGAGTCTCCAGAGGGCGCAGACGCTGTGACCGGACCTCCCGGCCCACAGCCGTTGCTCCCTCACCTCCTCCACGAACGGACCAGCCCGGGCTCAGGAAAGACGGAGGTAATGAGGCCATCACTCTGCAAGTCAAGAGGTCAGCTGACTCTTGGTGTTGCCTGGACATTTGTCTCTGGGTCTGGTCAGTGAACTTGGCCTTTTCCAGAGCCCATTTCCCACATTGTTAATTATTATCCCAGGAAGCAGGATGGTCTTTGCATTTATGTTTAAGTCATCCTTCCTGAAAACACACCCAGATAAGTATTTCCAAAATGTAACTCTGATTATTTTCTGGTTTTATCTTCATATTTAATTTGTTAGTCACCCTGAAACTACTTTGGCCAGGGTTTTCTACTTCTGTGCCAGTTTTCTATGTGTGAGTGTGAGTAGCTGTGTGTCCACATGCGTGATATTATTACTATTAATTTTTTTAATTCAAAAGCAATTTTATTTAGTTATTTTTCAAGTAGTTTTCTGTTTATTTCTCCCATCCCAGCCCACCCCGTCCCTTGCTCCCCACCTCCCTCCCATTTCCACCCCCCTTAGTTCTCGTCCCTGTGTCCTTCCTATTTGTTCCTCTAAATCCCTCCCATTTTTTCCCCTTAAATTCCCTCCCCTCTCCCCTCTGGTCCCTGTCAGCCTGTTCTCTATTTCAGTGTCTTTGTTTTTATTTTGCTTGCTTGTTTGTTTTGTTGTTTAGCTTCCTGTTAAAGGTGAGATCATATGGTATTTGTCTTTCAACACCTGGCTTATTTCACTCAGCATAATGCTTTCCAGTTCCATCCATGTTGTTGCAAAGGATAGTAGCTCCTTCTTTCTCTCTGCTGCATAGAATTCCATTGTGTATATGTACCACAATTTTTGATCCATTCATTTATTTTTTTTAAAGATTTTTATTTATTTATCTTTAGAGGGGGAGGGAAGGAGAGAGGGAGAGAAACATCAATGTATGGTTGCCTTTCATGCCTCCCCTGCTGGGAACTGGCCTGCAGGGAACCGGCCTGCAACTCCGGTATGTGCCCTGACTGGGAATCGAACCACGATTTTCTGGTTCGCAGGCCCACGCTCAGTCCACTGAGCTACACCGGGCTGATCCATTCATTTACTGACGGGCACCTAGGTTGCTTCCAACTCTTGGCTATTGTAAATTGTGCTGCTATGAACATTGTGGTGCATAGGTTCTTTGAAATTGATGTTTTAGGATTCTTAGGATATAATCCTAGCAGTGGAATTGCTGGGTCAAAAGGCAGGTCGATTTTTTATTTTTCTGAGAAAATTCCATACTGTTTTCCATAATGGTTGTACCAGTCTGCAATCCCACCAACAGTGAACTAAGGTCCCCTTTTCCCCACAACCTCTCCAACATTTGTCGTTTGTTGCTTTGTTTATGATGGCCATCCTGACTGGTGTAAAGTGGTATCTCATTGTGGATTTAATTTGCATCTCTCTGATAGCTAATGATATTGAGCATCGTTTCATGTGTCTCTGGATGTTCTGTATGTCCTCCTTGGAGAAGTGTCTGTTCAAGTCCTTTTCCCATTTTTTAATTGGGTTGGCTGTCTTCTTAGAGTGGAGTCGTGTAAGTTCTTTGTATATTTTGGAGATTAGACCTTTGTCTGAGGTATCATTGGCAAATATGTTTTCCCATACAGTTGGTTGTCTTTTTAATTTCATACTGTTTTCTTTAGCCACGCAGAAGCTCTTTATTTTGATGAGATCCCATTTGTTTATTCTTTCCTTTATATTCCTTGCTCTAGGGGACATATCAGTAAATATGTTGCTGCTTGAAATATCTGAGATTTCCTGCCAATGTTCTCCTCTAGGACCTTAATGGTTTCAAGGCTTATATTTAAGTCTTTTGTCCACCTTGAATTTATTTTGGTGTATGGTGTTAGTTGGTGCTCAAGTTTCATTTTTTATTACTATTAACTTTTAATTCTCACTTGAAGATATGTTTAGAGACAGGAAGTGGAGGTAGAGAGAGATTGATGTGAAAGAGAAATATCAGTGGTTGTCTCCCATGCACGTCCCGACTGGGGATCGAACTTGCGACCTCTTTGTGTACAGGATGATGCTCCAACCAACTGAGCCGCGTGGCCAGGGCTGCATGTGTGTTATTAACAAATTCTATTCGATGTTGTTCTCTCTCTTCTCTTCCAGGACCCCCTAATGTGAATGCTGGTATGCTTGATTTTCCCAGGGGCTCCTCATACTGTCTTTGTTTTCTGGATTCTTTTTTATGTATTTATTTATTTTTGGCTGATGTGCTTGGGTATCTTCTGCTTTCTTATCTTCCAAATCTCTGATTTGATCCTCTATTCTATCTGCTGTTGATACCTTGTAATGTATTCTTCATTTCAGTGAATGTATTCTTCATTTATGGCTATTATTTAAAATGTATTCTATCTCAGTTTGTGTATTTCCTACCTCTGTTGAAGTTCAAAGTTCATCTACTCTTCCCCTAAGTTCATCGAGCATCCTTCTAACCAGTGTTTTGAACTCTGTATCTGGTAGATTGCTTATCTCCATTTCGTTTAGTTCTTTTTCTGGGCTTTTGTTCTGCTCTTTCATCTGGGACACATTTCTTTGTCTCCTTGTTTTGGCTGCCTCCCTGTGTTTGTTTCTATGAATTAGGCAGAGCTGCTATGACTCCCTGCCTCGGGAGAGTGGCCTAACGTAGTAAGTGTCCTGTGGGGTCCAGGGGCACAGCCTCCCTGTTCACCAAGGCTGGGCCCTCCAGGTTCACCCATCCATGTGGGGCTGGGTGCGCCCTCCTGCTGTAGTTGAGCCTTGATTGCTATTGGCACGTCAGTGGGAGTGATTTACCACCAGGCCAATCAGCTGTGAGGACTGGCTGCAACCGCCACCGTGGAGGATTAGCTGGACTTGCTTCAGCAGAGCTCTGGTTCCCACTGAGTTGATTCCTTGAGTGTGTGCCATGTGGAGGTGGCCGGGTGAGCTTTGTTGTGGCCGGAAGCTGTCCACCAGGTGTGCTGGCTCTGGGGCCTGCTGGGAGGTGCAGGCCAAGTCAGCTGCTACCTGTGTTCTATCTGGAGCCACATGGCATGAACCACGAGTCACCTGCAGGTGGCTGCTGCTGGTACAGGGCTTGGAGGTGCCCAGGAGAGGCCAAACTGAGAATCAAGTCCAGCTGTCACTAATGCTGGGCCTGGGGCCACTCAGCCAGAGCTATGGGTCCCACTGAGGCCAGACTGACAGATTTCAGTAAAGTTCAAAATATGAGTCAAGACGGGTCATTTGTACGGAAAAGCCACTAGAAACAGCTTGGGTGGGTTTGCAAGCTGGTTGGGCAGGGTCTCAGGGACTCACCAGGGCAGGGAAAACAGTGGCAGCCAGGGTGACAGACTCTCAGATATGGCCCCCTGCTGCCGGCTCTGTTGAGGGAAGGCTCAGAAAAGGGACAGTGGCCTCTGCTGGCACTTCTGTCTGGGAGAAAGCTGCCCCTAGAGCTCTTGCTCCAATGTCAGACAACTCAGTTCCTCCCGAGATGTCCCTGCTGCCCCAGCGCTCGAGCTCTGAACCAGTGAGTCCGAGTACATCCATGTGCTGGCCCTTTAAGAGGAACTGCGTGGGACTCCAGAAGCCTCTGTCTCAGCCACAATCCTACTAGTTTTTCAGCCAGAACTTAGGGGTCTTCTTTTCTTAGCACTGGAACCCTGGGTGGGGAGGCCTGCTATGGGGCTGGGACACTCCCTGCCCCCATCCTTGGAAAGGACCCCCACAGCCGAGATCTCTCTCCCGATTTTTATCCACCACACGTGGGTGTGGGGGCCGGCCAGTTGCCTGTCCCCGCCCGTCCTGCCGGTCTTCTTCTTTCTGTCCCTGGTTGTGGGACTTCTGTTCAGCTAGATTCCAGGCGGTGCTCCATGATGGCTGTTCTGTAGTTTAGCTGTGATTCTGATGTGGATGCAGGAGGATTCAAGAGCAACATCTGCCCACACCTCCATCTTGACCAGACCCCTTCAAGGTATTTGGCTTTTAATCGTCAGTTGTTTCCCATACGTTGTGAGACCCAATCTAATATTTAAATAATGCGTTTGAGTATATTTACTACAGTATCCTAGAGAAATCGCAGTCTTATCCATAATCACACGGTTCTTAGGAAAACGAATCTGAAAAATTGCATTTATTTCTCATCTGACTGGTTTTATCTGCCTATAGTGAAACCATGAACATCATTTGTTTTTAAAGAATGACATTAGGCATGTGAAGTAAGAAAAGTAAAAACCGAATACTCAGCTTCTTATGTGGAATAGTTCATACATTAAGTAAAATGTAAATGATTGGTGAAACAGACATTTATAATTCCAGTGGCCGGTCAAGTTCACCATGAAGGTCGTAGTTTTTCTTGCATAATTAGACTTAACACACAACAATATTTTACAATCAGATAACATTTTCCTCTGTGAGAAATCTCAGTCTGCAGGTTCTAATTCTCTAAGGCAGGATATTTTTCTTTTTCATAGTGTCAAATTTTCTTTCAAAACAATTTATGTCCTACAGAAGAAAAATAGACCAAGCGGACAGACAGGGAATTCTACCAAACCTGCGATAATCAGATACTGTCAGTGTTATTTAAACAAGTCTAGACCACA